AAGTCACACATAAATAGTGATATTTATAACCACTATCCCAAGAATCGACTGTTAAAGATACTCTACAGTTAAGGTTACTCAATTCGGCTTGTAACCGGACTTTGTACTCTAGGAAATTTTTCATTGCGGCGGAACGAACGGTTTTCCTAGAGATTCTTTTATGTTGGGGTTGTAGTGCTTTGTTAATGTAGGTGTTGAATGCGTCACTTTCCGAGAAAAGAAAAGGTTGTTCGGCGTGTACTATCATTTTTCCTAGTTCATCCCTATCCCTCTCATAGTTGTATGTAAAGCCGTATGGATGGAATTGGGAAATTTTGGGCTGGGTTGGATCACTAGCTGGTTTTTCACAAGCTTTCATGTGTCTAGATAAGTGTCCCGTCCCGTTTTTGGTAACTGCCGTGAATACACTATTACATGTTTTACATTTTGCCCATTGTTCACCATCTTTACTTAGGACAAAATAACACCATACCTCACTCCTTCGGTTTTTCAAAAGTAGCATCTCAGTTTCGGTTAACCATTCATGATGTGTGTGATGGTTAGTAGTGGGACTAGTGGGAGTGGCAGTAGAAGGGGTAGAACCGGAGGGAATTCGGGTACTTTCTTGGCTACCTTGGCTAGAACAATAGTTTTGTTGATCACCGATATAATTAGGTAGAAATTGGTATGGTGGTAGTGGAAATTGGTTTAGTGGTGGTGCTGGAAATCCCGACGTATTACATGGCTCATAGCCCGGGGGGAAGTAAATGGGGTCATTGGTTTGACTCGTAATTTGGGGGCTCGTTGTATTTGGTGGTTCCCTAGAACTACTACTACGGATAAGTCGGCCTTTCCCCCTAGACCTAGATGGTGGGTTGTTCGATGCCATAATTAACAATTAATTTTTTAATAAAAAGTGGTTAACTATAATAATAATAATTAATAACAACAATTTTAACAATAAAAATATCAATAATAATAATTAATAACAACAACTATAACAATAACAATAACAACAAAAATAAATAATAACAACAATTGTAACAATAATAATAATTAATAACAACAATTATAACAACAACAATAATAATTAACAACAATAATAATTAAACAAGATTATTCTAATAATAACAATAAAACAATAATAAATTTAAGATTAGTTTAAATCTTACAACCGTGCTTCAACGCTCCACTAATTACGATTACGAACTTTTTAATTTTTTCCGATATTAGGAAAATAATTAGATAATTTAAGAGAATAATTAGAGAATTTAAGAAAATAAGGATTATTAGAGATTTAGAGAATATAAGAGATAAGAAGAAGAGATTGTGATTTTGTGATTTGGGAATGAAATGGAGGTGAGTATTTATAGAATTTTTGGGGAGCAAATTGGCAAAAAACTAGCCGTTTTTTAGCCGTTTTTTTGGCTTATTAAGGAGCTAGAATAAACGGTAACATTACCGTTGGCCCGCGGGCCGTTCCGGGCCGTGCCTGCGGGCCGGCACGACGGGCCAGCACGGCGAGCCATGGCCGTGCTCGTGCTGGGCCGTGCCTGGGAATTCTCAACCCTGTCCGTGGCATGGCCCGTGGCACGGGAGTTGAACTTCGTGCCGTGTCGTGCTTGAATTCGGGCCGTGCCGGGCGGCACGCGGGCCAACCCGGCCCGTGCCCAGGTTTATTGTTGACTATTGCATTATCAATGATTCTTGTTTGGCTCCTAAGTAAGTAATCTTTTGTTTGATTACATTGATTTTCTCTTATTTATTTATTTATGAAACACCTTTTTAATTCTTATTTTATACTCTTTGACACAGTGAACTGTTGGTATTTTTTCACGAAAAGCATTTGATTCAAAGGCAAGACTTCTACACATTAGGAAAGCCTTCTGAAATCATGAGCAGTAATATTTTGGATTGCTGGGCATTGCTTCTCAATGAAAATTATAAATTTCTTAAGGATGGACCTCGGAAATTGTACTTTGGTTCTTTAATTAGTGTGAGTTGTTTAATTATTTCAATTTTTATACATGTTTATACTTTTCACTTATTTTTTTATTTGTTTAAATATTATGAAGGTTACAATAGTAGAAGCTGCCAGCAGTGATGACAATTCACAACTAGTGGACAATGTTTATCAAGAATTGGAGGAGTGGATGAAAATAGCTTGCAATAATTTTGATTTGTTAGAAGTGGAGCTGGTAATACTTTCTGTTTTTTTATGCTTTGAAAAATATAGTTCCCTTTTTTTTATGTTGTAGATACCTTTATTTAAATGAGAGTGCCTATTGTAAAATACTCTTATAAAGTTTAGATTATAACTGAAAAGATCAGTGATATCATTAATAATAAGAACTACTTACTGAGTAGTCCAGTTTTCAGTCCATAGAGAATATAGCAAGTTAGGGCCAGTTCTTGTAAGTTTTTAACTGTATCAGTTCAGCATAAACAATATAAAAAGGAGTGTAGCTGGAAGGGGCTTTCATTTTCCGTGTAGCTTGGCCTTATGGAGTATGTCAAAGGCTCTGAAATGGGCCTACATGGCAGTAAGCTTAAGAGTTGGAGGTGTAATAGTTAAAATTAGTTTGGCAAGACATGACCTAGAGAGGGTATATTTATGTCATATAGTGCATCCTTCACATCAGGTTTCACAGCAACAAGAACAAAATTGTTTAATTTCCTTGACTAAGTGGCAGAATAATGTTCATTATTGAACATGGTTGCTAATGTATAATTGTGAAACTGATGATTGTTGTAATATGGAAGCAATAAAATCACCAATGGCGCAATACAACATATAACCTAGACCTCAGAGTGGCTAGAAATTAGTAGTATATTTTTAAAAGAGGTCACTATAATATCAAAAATGGAATCTATATGTGTTTTTTTTAATTACTAATTGTGGTATCTTTGTTGCAGATATTTTTACCTTGTCTTTGTGGCAATCACTATTGCTTATTTGTGGTGAATTTGACTGAAGGAAAAATTCAGTTTATTGATAATCTGAATTATGATGAGGATGGTCGTAACTTCTTGAAAAAGTTATCTAGTCTCTTGGTATTACTTTTTCACTCTTCCATATTCTCACTATTTTCTTGTCTAAAGGTTTTGATTGTGAGTTTTAGGAATTAGGATTTGGACAAATTTTAAACTAGTTTACATGTGAAACTAGCATTGTGAGTTTGTAAAGTGTAACATTTATAGTAGTAACTGAGACAAAAGTCGAATAAATTGTATCATAAAGTTACAGCATGGTTGTTATAATGACTCTTAATAGATCATATAATGTGACTGTGATCTGATTATATGCTTTTTTGCTAGTGTGATATGATCAGTACCTTCTTTGATCAAAGGCTTACTCAATTTGAAGCTACGGTTGACTATGCTTTGGAGTTTCCTACTTTGAATTGGAGATCAAGCAAAGATAATTCAAATTCTGGTGTTTATACTATAATGAGTATGCTTTTATTCAATGGAGCTGATGAGTTTAAATGTGAAATTTTAAAAACAGTTATGATTCTATCCCTTTTAAATTATTTGTTTTATTTCTTTTAATTAATATCACAATATCTTATACTGATTATTTACTTTTTTTAGGCTTCAAATAGGAAGATTCTCCGGATTCAAATTGATGCATCTTTAGTGTTATCTGATATGAATGAAGCTAGATCAAATATAATTGGTAAGGTGGGTGAATTCAAGCCTGATAGGCAGCGTCTTTCAAAAGAGGTTGAAGGAAGAAGGAAGAAAGAGATTGAGCAGAGGAAGAATAAGAAGAAGCCGACAGTAGACAAGAAGAAGAAAGGAAAGGCTTAAGATGTCAGAACATTGTGTAACTGATTTTTAAACTTAGTTGTGATCATAATTTTCTGAAACTAAGCAAAGTACTTTGAAGATTGTATATCTAATTAGTACTCATTCAACTTTTGTGTAGGTTATTGAATGAAGATTGGAAAAATATTCATTTTGTGTAAACAAGCTTTTGCCAATATTTTATGAAAATGGTATATTGTTTGTTTAATTCAATTATTAAAGTTCTCTGTTATCTTAGGTCACTATATGTTAAAATAAAGTCACTATATTATTTATAAGGTCTTTGTTTGGTGAAAAAGGTCACTTCGTTTTCATTATTTTGTAGTGTCAAAATTAAGGACTATGTTTTTTAATTAATGGTAATCATCATAGATCACTATATGTTAAAATAAAGTCACTATATTATTTATAAGGTCTTTGTTTAATAAAAAAAAAAAGGCCACTTCGTTTTCAATATTTTATAGTGTCAAAATTAAGGACTATGTTTTAAATTAATGGTAATTATCATAGGTCACTATATGTTAAAATAAAGTCACTATTTTATTAATAAGGTTACTATTCTAAATATAAAGGTAACTATGTCAAAATTATGGACTATGTTAATTAATGGTAATAAACTGACAATAAAAGGGTATTAAATAAAGATTACTATTTAAAATAAAGATCATTATATTGTAAAAAAAGGTTACTACTCCAAGAAGTATACATCTCAAAATTAAAGGTTACTATGCTAATCATAAAACAGACTATATCATAATAATCAGTAGTTAGTTATAAGATTTGAGCATTTCATTTTCTTGATTTCTTATCTGTTGATCACAGGAAACATTGAAACAAGATAGCTTTAACAACTAAAAGGAGCTTTCCGTGTAGGATAGCAAACTACCAATTAACAACAAGTTTAGAGAAGGAGGCTTTGGGTATAAGGTATTAAAGTACTCATTTGTTATTCCTTGTTTGTTTGAAAATGATTAAGTACAATTAAGATCAAATTAAAAAGACACTATATGATAACAAAGGACACTATGTCAATCATAAAAGACACTATATCATAAAAAAAGACAATATCATCGTAAAAGACACTATATAAGTATTTAAAAGATATAAAGTTTCCAAGAATGAAATTACAAATAAAAGGTAACCAAGTAACAATACAGGTTACTATGATAAAATATGGTGTTCTTAAGATAAAATTTGATGTTTTCAGACTATCAGAGCATATACTTATTATTAATATTTGGTGTTTTGGCACCAAATTCTCTATGCTTCCTCCTCTTCCCCTTTTTCATGTAGTCATAGCTTCCTAGAATCCTTTTATTTGATTGGCTTCCTTTAGTTTTTGCACGAGCTGGGTCTAGTACTTGAACCACACTAGATGAAGTTGGCTCTGAATTCTCTTTTACACATGTAGTGTTCTCATAATGGTTGTCAGTTGACTTCATAGCAGAAATAATCTCATCAATTGCACTTGAATCTTTTGTAAAGCTTTCTTCTAAGACTTTCCTTGCTTGTTTAAACTTGTGGCTCTTAAGGATTAAACTATAATACTTCCTAATCATGTGTAGCCGCCAGGGTGTGAAGTTGTTTAATGTCCCCTTCATCCTTTGCTCTGCCTCCATAATTTCCCAAACTTTATCCTTAGCCATTTTAGTCCACCTGAAAGATATGTATTGCTCTGGGATTGTTTCAATAGAATGCATGTGTAAGATTCTAAGGCTATGGAAGCATAAACAACCCGACTCTTCAAAATTCTTGCATGGACATTGAATTGTTTGATTAATTGGATCATAAGTTACTGCTTGAGTTGTGCCATCTCTGCCTTCAAGGTACACTTGGTAAACCATTTTGTCTCCATTAATGAATAGCAGTTTAGTTTGAGATCCAATGGCTAGGTTGAATTCTTCTTCAAAGTCCCTGAATAATGTATGTGTATAAATCTCAGCATCATGTTTTAGTAAGACAGACATTGGATAGCTTGAAGTAGGAATTGATTTTATGTTATTGAACTCATAAAAATCCTCATTCCTTCTCCAAGTCTTCACTGTCTTCTGAAATATGTTGTAGAATTCTGTCAAATTTGTTTTCTTGTTTGCTTTGAATCCCACTGCATGATTTGTGCTCTCACTTCTCTGTGATGACAAGATTCCCGCGCAGGAAAAGTCCTTACTTAGAGCTGTTGACCACTTGTGCTTTAGTGAGTATAACCTTTTGAACCAACTATTGTTTTTCAGTTTGTACTTTGTCGTCATTGAATCCCAACATACTTCAAACTGAGCTTCAGTAATACAACCACTCAAGCATTTCATGAAAGCAGCTTTGAATGTGTCATCACTCTTTAAAACTCCAAATCTTGTTACAACATTTTGAATCAAGTGCCATAGACATAATCTATGTCTAGTATTTGGAAATACCTGCACATTTTTATACAGTTACTATAGTTTCAAAAATGGTTACTACATTTAAAATAGAGATAACTAAATATAATTTTAGTACAAACATATTTAGATGTAGTGGTATTCAAAAAGTTCCTTCAAAGTTAGAAATTACCTTTGGTATTGCTGCTAGCATGGCTGCATCTTGGTCTATAAACAGTGAGACATGACATTTACCACCCATTGCCTTTTTGAAGGTCTCAAATAGCCCCACAAATGAATTTGTGGTCTCATCACCAATAAAAGAACAAGCAAACATAGTGTTCTTCCAGTGGTTGTTTCCTACAAAGGGTGCACAGATGAGGTTGTAACGATTCGTCCTATATGTGGTGTCAAATACAGTGACATCCCCATATATTTTGTAATCTTCAAGCATCATGGAATCCCTCCAAAACAAGTTACAAACCCTTCCATATGAATCCAACCTTACTCTGAAAAAGAAGTTAGGGTCCTCAAAATAAGTTTCCTGTAGTTTGTCACAAACTACTTGAGAATCTCCTCCTTCAATGGCCTTTAATTTCAGTTTATAACAATAATTCATGTGGTCTTTCACTGTATGACCAATAGCATCTTCTACTCTAGCTTCATTTGACATGTAATTAAAGGATTCCATAGGTCTTAGTCCAGATTCTTGCATGGCCTCTATCACTTGCCCTTTAATTCCAGTCATTGCACGCTCTGAACGGTGGAAATGGTTCCATTGTGGTCTAGTGAGTGGATGATTGTGCACCAACACATGCTGAACTATCTCAAGTTGCCCCTCCTTATTCAATTTTGCTATTATCAAAGCATTACAGTTTGTCCTTGTTATTGGAACTCTCCTACTTTGTCTTGTTTTTTTTAACTGAAGAACTTTCCTCTGTCAAGAGTTATTCTGCAATTTTTTCCTTCTTTTTATCAGAATTTCTTAATCCAGCTGCATAACATACAAAGAACTTTTTAGTGATGATATCTTTAGTTCCAATTTTGCTTGTTTGTTTTGCTTTTCTAACACTAAAACCAACTGCAATAGCATGTTGATAATACAATTCATGTATTTCCGCAAGTGTTTCTCGATTTTCTCCTACTAACCAACCACTAATCTCATCGTTATTACTTGCACCTGTTATTTTAAAAAATAGATCACTATACTATCACTAAAGGCAACTATGTTACTTAAAAGTGGCTTTGCATGTCATAATAGATCACTATACTATTACTAAGGCAACTATGTTACTTAAAAGTGGCTTAATTACGCATAATCGCTTAATTCACAACTACGCATAATTCAATCAACATAAATTACGCATAATCGCTAAATTTTCAATCAACATAAATTACGAATAATTGCTTAATTCATAATTGCATAATCGCCTAATTCACATTATCAAATTAATACCTAAATGCCTAATTTAATTCACAACTGCATAATCTCTTAATTCACATTATCAAATTCTAAAATCAATTGCATATAAATATATCGTATTATACCTTGAGCTTGCATTAGAGGTTGATTTTCTTCATGAACTTCATTCTCATCAACAACTTCAATAATAGTTTGTTCTTCATCTTCAACAGCTTCGTTCAGATCGAAATTGATGACATTAATATCGAAGTTTTCTATAGTTTCCTGTATACATCGATTTAGATCCATTTCAATTGATTGTATAGAAGAATTCTCCATGAATTTTGATCCATGAATTTTGAAGAAATTGATCGATAATGCAGAAAATAAACCCTAGAATCGAGTAGAATTAGAAGGAAAGAGATGAAAATTCGAGCTCTATGAAAGTTTTTAATGGCGTTGAAATTAGCCTTGGGAAAGAAGTTAGTACGTTGTGGCAGAAGAAATGTTAGTAAGCTTGTTAAACAAGTCAGTGGGCTGGGCTGTGTTTTGTGGCAATTGGCACGTGAGACCATAAGGTCCACAATAAATTTATTGTGGACCAGGTCCACCCAAGAATTTTTAAGTATTTAAAAATGGAGGGAGTAATTAGATAACTAGTGTGTGATTCAGGTGTTGCCTTGAGATATTAGTTTGAATACATTTTTGTTTTTATAAATTGTTTGACTCTGTTAGTATTAATAATTTGGAAAAAATGGAATATAATGTTGAATATTGATGAGCATATCTATCGATTAACTATTACTAAAACAGAAGTTGCTGACATCACTATTGTCCACATGTCACTTTCTCAATAAAAAATTTCCCTCCCAAATGCAATGATGATGTCATCTTTGTTTTTTTTTTTTTGGAAAAGCTACTATATTTAACATTTTTGAAATTTAAATATTGGAAACTTCTACATTACAACTAAAATCTATCAATTTATCGTAGAAAATTGAAACAAACTATACTTAGTATTTAAAAACACAAACCACAACTTTTTCAAATGACACATGGCATCATAAGTCACTCATTACACCATGTGCCACATGTCATCTCCCTTAATATTTATATGTAAGTCTTTATACATTCTACAACTTGCAAATTCAATTAAGAAAGTGAAGTGTTTCATTTCTACCGTAATAAAATAAAGTTCTATTAATCTAACTAAATTCCTTCATCTTCTTTTACAGTTCTACCCTCACTCTTTTTTTTTCTTTTAAGTTATAGAAATAAAGCACACCTACATATGAAAATAATTAACCCAAGTAACAACCCGTGCATTGAACGGGCCAAAAAGCTAGTTTTAAATAGCACACTAATCAAAGACCTCCTACATTGAACTATGAATTAGACAACGTTGAACATATACTATATCATAATTTTGATTAAAATAAAAAATTTTAAAATTACAAAATATACGTAATTCTTATTTATATTCATGTATAATAGCGATTTATTTTTTAAAATGTACAAATTAACAATAGGCTTTATGTAAACTGTGCATTGCACAGGTTCTAACCTAGTATAAAAAGAAACGTGAGTATTTAGATTGGATTTTTTTTTATTCTACATTTAAATACATTTATATTGATCGATGAATAGAGCATAAATCAATCATCAATAATCAATCAATCAATAACTATATACTAAACGACATACCAGCAATGACATGTGTGTCCTTTAGTGTTTTTTTTAACACTAATTAAGTAAAGTTTTAATGAGGTAAAAAAAATTGACTAATAGATAAATTTCTTTAATTGTTTAAAATTAATTGTTGTCTAAATCTTTACTTATAGAAAGAATTAAAAAAATCAATCACAAAACTAGAAAGAAAAATCATATAAATTATAATACGATCCTGTAGACAACTAAAAATGTCTCCCCAAAACCAAATCCGATGATGAACAACCTTTCACCGCCATCATTGGTCGGGTTGAGTATTTAATCTTGGAGTGCTTAAATCCATATTTTCATTTCATAAACCAACCCAACTTCTAGCCCATTTCCCCAACTTATTTTCCTCTTTTCGTGCCTTTAAACCCAAAATAATTCATTTCGTGTCCTTTTTATAAAAATGTTTAATCCAGTTTATTTTGGTCCATAATCTGGGTCCAATGATTTAATAATTGGATGTTTCTTGAAAATAGCTTTCCAACGATATATTATAAGCCCAAATCCGAGTTATAACGAAAAAGTTATGACCAAAATATTAAACTGAGCCCAAACCGAACCTAAGCACACCTTACCTACGACCCAATGATCATTTAATCCCATTCCTAAACCAATTAGGATTAATTAGAAGATTCTATAAGTTTCTAAAAGATCTTAATTATCCTTTTTGAAAAGATAAGATTAAAGAGTTTGAAATTGAATAAAACTTTTCTTTTAAAAGTCCTAATTCTATCCGAATTGAAAGACGTTCAAAAATAGACAGATATTATTTTCGTGCCTCATAGTTTTTATCCAAATCTTAGATGGTTGGATAGCCCTTGAAATTATCTTTTCAATGAATAAAATATCAAACTCAATCCAAAACTAACACCGTCTCACTATTTCGGCCATATCTTTTGTTCTGCAAAATATTTTAATCTGATTTTAATTGTATTAGAAGGTAGACTTCAAGAGCTTTCCAACGATATCTTATTTATCTTATTCCGATTTCTGGATCAAAAGATATGATAAAAACAAAAACCGTAAAAACTACAGTCTAACGAGTTTTATTCCAATTTAATTCGAATCGTATCTTGTTTTTTCGACCCTTCTCTTTCTCTATAAATAGAGGTCATATCTCTCCTTTTTTCAAGGATCAACAAGCTTGATCATAAAATAATTCTCTTCTCCCTCTTTAGCCTAAATACTAGCCACCCTATTCTTCCATTATTCTTCCCTTAAGCACTCCAAGGAGTCCATACAATACCCTAAGTTCTATACTTAAACCAAGGCGTGAAAAGTATAATTGACTGAGGGTTTGGATCAAATCAAATCTACCTTTATTTAATTTAATTTCCATTTGATTTATATCTTTATTGAAGTTACTAACAGTTTATTCATGATGTAGCAATTCAAGGAAACGCGGAAAGTGAGTAATTAATCACTTAATTACTCTTATTTTTATTCTTGTTGCTAGTATCATGATTAGGGTTATTATTATTATTTGATTTGACTAACGATATTATTGTTGAATTGCTTCCAATAATAATGTTAATTCTTCTATTATTTATTGATCACCATATTGCATGTTAAAGGGAATATGTAATTGAAAATTACGCCTAATAAGATAAGTTGGACGACCGATTTAGGTTCCTGTTTAATCTTATTGTTTAATCAAGTGATCACGATATTTTAGAATTATATGTTGCATTAATATTCAACCAATTTAGCTTAATAATAGTTTGGAGCAAATTGAAGTTTTGTTTGTATGCCTTTGAGATCGCAGGAATCACTTTTCATTATAAGAATCGAGTAGAGGCCAATACGGGCGAATGTGACTCCATGACTCACTTCGTACCATCATCCTCGATCCTCCTTTCGTGGTTCCGAATCATATGGAGTTAGTAATCTCATGGATTATGAATTGGGTGTAACCTTCACAGGTCAATCGTTGTTGCCTATCGTTGTCCATTATTCGTGGTTGCCTTTTATGATCCGTGAACGGTTTACAAGTTCCTTAAAAACTTGTTGGCGTCTCCCTACTTTCCTTGTCCCTAATCGTATTATGTCAATTCCCACTTCCTAAGAGTGCCAAGCATATTCACAACATGCTTTAACGTAGGCGCACTTCAAACGACGCCTACAAATCCATAATAGTAATTGATGATTATTATACCATATTTTTTGTAAAGCTAATTACCTTAATAATCAACAACTACCTACGAGTAATAAACATCAACAAATAACTACATAATATATTAATTGATGACTTATAATTATTTTTATTTTTATAAGATATTTCCAAAACATAATTTAAAACATACCGATATCCCATTAGAGTTTATAACGGGAAAAAGGTTGAATAAAGAAATAATATGTTATTCGGAAGAGATATGGATTAATATTGTAAATGGCTTGATTTGAGATTAAAAAAAATAATAATAATAACGTGATTTTAATAGTGAGTACAAAGGGAATTGAATTATTTCATGAGGTAGATATATAGCTTTTAAAATTTATTTAATTAATAAGAAAATAATTGTACCACATAATTATATGTTCGTAACTTCATATGCATAACTTTTATATACATAATTAGCTAATTGGATCTTCCATGATTATTTCAATGAATATTTTGGTAGTTTAGTTCA